AGATGGAGCATTCAAATGCTATCTTAGATGAACATACAAACTTCATTGATATTTTTAATTTTTTATTTATTATATTTTTTATTTCTTCATTTGTTTATTTATTGTTTTATTCTGTTTTTGATTATGAAATTTTTGAATGTATAATTTGTATAGAAAAAAAATCTATAAAATGGTTTCCAAAAATTACAAAAAATTGTAGACATAATTCAGAAATATGTATTGAATGCATTAATTTACATATTGAACATAATTTAAATGATGTTTTAGAAATTAAATGCCCTTTTTATGAGTGTGAAGAAACTTTAAAATATCAAGAAGTTAAAGAACTAGCAAATGAAAAATTATATAAAAGGTTTATACGTAAAATTTATATAAGCTTATATGAAATATTTATTTGAGTATTCAATTAATCAGTTATCTATTTATCTATAGATATGATCGATTATCTTTGCGAAAAGCACTCCAAAGCATGCCAGATATCAGATTTTGTTTAAATCCTAAATGTGATTCTGCGCAAGTTCACAATGGAGATCGTAAGTCTTAATCGCATCAATATTTTATAATAATGATAATTTTTTATGAATTTATTATTATTTTGTTTTTTTAAAAGATAGCTTACCAATAATGACATGTTTGAAGTGTGGTTCAAAATCATGCTTTACTCATGATGTACCATGGCATGAAGGTTTGACCTGTCCTGAATACGATCGAATGAAAAGAGAACAAGAAGCTGCTACAAATAGTTATTTATCAAAAAAAAACAAAACCCTGCCCGAAATGTGGCATTCATATAATAAAGATTGGTGGATGTGACCATATGACTTGTAAATTGCCAGAATGCAAATATGAATTTTGTTGGATGTAAGTAAAAGTTATCTTTATTATTACTGTACAATTAATTCAACCAACAATCAATTAATCAACTTATCAATTTTTTAATTATAGATGTTTAGCTGATCATAATGGAATTCGTCGTGATGGAAATCATAGACATAATCCCACTTGCAGACATTATAGGGCTCTTCCTCAATCTCTTCGACCTCCTCAACCTCTTCAACCTCCTCAACCTCCTCAATCTCTTCAAGCACCTCAATCTTCTCAACCACCTCAATCTCCTCAACCTACTCAACCTCTTCAACCTCCTCAATCTCTTCAAGCTTCTCAATCTCCTCAATCTCTTCAAGCTTCTCAATCTCCTCAACCTCCTCAATCTTCTCAACTTCTTCAACTTACTCAACCTCCTCAACCTTCTCAACCTCCTCAATCTTTTCAACCTTCTCAAGATCCTCAGATTTCTCAATCTTCTCAATCTGCTCAACCTTTTAATCTCTTCAATTTTCTCAATCTCCTCAAGCTCCTCAATGTCCTCAATCTTCTCAACCTTCTCAATCTCCTCAATCTTCTCAACCTCCTCAAGCTCTTCAAAGTCCTCAATTTTCTCAACCCGCTCAACCTTCTCAATTTCCACAACCTTCTCCACCTTCTCAAGCTCTTCAAAATCCTCAATCTTCTCAACCCGCTCAACCTTCTCAATCTCCTCAATCTTCTCAACCTTCTCAAGCTCTTCAAAGCCCTCAATATTCTCAACCTGCTCAACCATCTCAATTTCCTCAAGCTCTTCAAGGTCCTCAATCTTCTCAACCTGCTCAACCTTCCAAATCTCCTCAACCTCTTCAACCTCAGCCTCCTCAATCTCCTCAATCTACTCAACCTCAACCTCTTAGACTTCCTCGGCCTTCTCAAGCTCAACATTCTCAACTTTCACAATCTTCTCAACTTTTTTCTCTTCCTTAGAACTTCTTACAAATTCAAGTGCAAAATTCACAAACTCATGGCAAGTATAATAAATTAATTATAAATTTTTTTCTTATAATAACATTATTGCTATTTTTTTTTTCAAGGTCATAGTTTTAAAATGCTTACGGATTACGAGATTATTGGTCAGGTATAAGATGAAATTTTATTCTCATACACAGTGCTGTTTATTATAGATATATAGAGTAATCTGTATATTTGTTTTCTATTTAATTTTAGACGAATATTCTATCTTTCAGACTAGAAAAATCATTAGTTAGAAGAATATACTGTGATTTTGAATATCTTTATAAAATTCACCTGCAGCAAAAGTTCCTCCTATACCTGGAAAGTGTTCATGAATCGTTTTTCAGTAAATATCATTGTAGTTCGTAAAGTCGGATTTGAAGATTTTTGACTAATGTATGTTTATTAAAATTTTTTTTTGCATTTAATGATTATGAAGCACAAATAATTTGTATTTAGAATAGTTTTATAGTAATTATTTATTTGTTTTAATGTTGCCGGACCTTCCTTTTTACCAAGTTAAAGTCAAATATTAACAGCTTTTATCCAAGATTCAAATTTTGATTGTAAAAATTATTCTAGTTTTCCGAAGGACTAAGCAGGGACCTTAACAGTTTTATCTAAAATTCAAATTTTGATTGTAAAAAATTATAAATACAGTTAAAATGATGTTGTCCGAAGGACTAAGCATGAATGATGTTTATTCATTAGTTGATTAGCAAAAAATTCGATTGGCTAAAAATCCAAGATCAAATACACATTTTTGTACTATTTTAATAAAGTTTGGTAAAACTGATCGATATTTTCAATCATCCTTGTTTTTAGCAAATTTTATACTTGTCCATGTGAAGTCCAAAACTTTTTTTACAAGAAGTGTTGTTCTAATTAGTTATTTATAAAAAGTTTTTGTAGCAACATGTTTTCAGTAAATAAATAATCAAAATAAACTTCAACCCTAATGTAAATCTCAAGTTTAAATAATCAAACGTTTTCGAATTAGTTACATCATTCAAGTATACTTCAGGTTCTACAGATCTATATAATTTGATATCTTTCTTCAGTAACTACATATAATCAGGTGATTCCCGGAATATCTCTACGATTTAAAAAAATTTTTGCTATTATATTATAATTGTATGAAGATATCTCAAGGATAACCGGACATTTGTAATCTTAGTACTATTTTAATTCTATGGATCTATAGAAGCAAAAAAATATCAAATTTTGCCAGACAGTTTTAAAAGTACCTTAAATTCTAAAAAATGTAGATGTTGGGATGAGCTACGAAAATTTACTATTTTCACAAGCAAGTATTTTTTTATTTATATTGAATTTTGAGGATTTCTTAACCTGTCTAACATACAAATTGTATATTTAAAATTTATAATTATGAATCTATTAAATATGAAGAAGTATCATAATTAGAAAATAAGGTAATTTGAGTAAAAATATAGCCGTTAAGCGAAACCTAGTGTTTCGACGAAATGTGTAACTTAATTCCGCTTTTAGCCGATTAAACCTCAAGTGGTAAATGACAAAAGGTGATAAAATTGACTAAGGTATTGGAACTGATGAAAGCTAGAGAACCTGACTTAGGAAATTTGTTTTAGGCTTGTATTCTATAATTGCTGATTAAGTTCTCAGAAAACCCATATCCGATATCGGAACAAATTTGATTTGCTTGACAATTGAATTGACATTAGGCGCAAATAATGCATGCCAATTTAACGCTACAGGCTAAAGGTATATTTCTAATTTTATCAGTATAAACGATAAAGTAAAAAAAACAATGATCGCATTACTAGCATAAGTAAATTCTCAAACCACAATATGCTTAGATGTTTGTTGACGATTCAAATTGCATCTCTAAATGCATGCTCAGACTCTGGACCAAAATATACAGTCAGACTCTCTAAATGCAACCCTATAAGTGCACAGGTCCGTATTATTTCACCGACCGACAGCTCATTTAGCCGACATCACTAGGTGGAATTTAGTAAAAATATATACCTGTAACTTATCAAATGCTTAACCCTAACCCTATGTGATGCCAGCTAAATGAGCATTCGGTGATCGGAACCGTAGGTGCACACCTAAGGATGGGATCGATCACAAACGGATACGATTGTTCGAAGCCAATTTGCTAAATACAGGATGATTTTTTTATTTTTGAGTTATTAATTAAAGTTGTTTAAAATTAAATTCTGTTCATCCTATCTTATAAGTGGAAAGAACGATACCTTATCCGGGACTCGGAATTTCAAAATTTGTTACAGCTATTATCATAATTCCTGGGATACCTGATAAAATTTGCGGCAGTAGCTTTTGTAGTCTACCTTTATTTATAGGCTTGACTAAGCTGATATCTAAAAAAATAAGTCTAGCAGACTAAATTCGAGTCAATGACTCTGATAATAACAAATATGGTTGACTGGTCGTAGAGATTTTACATATCGATTATATTCATAGATAAGCCTCTATAGTGTTTGTAGTTGGCCCATATATCACCTAGATTTTTCTGTCAACTCACTATTATTAAATTATTTAATGCCTAGTTTTTCCAAGAATCGACTGACTTAGTCGGCTAAGTCGATTTAATATCGGATAATGCAATGTAGTGATGGGCGATTACAAATGATACAGGATGTAGGTGAAATTTTTCGGATCACGTGATTCACCGACCTCCGGGCTAGGTCGGGATCACGTGATCACGTGGGCACTTGGATCGGCTAATAAGAATCGATCACGTGCAACCATATTTTTCTTAATATAAAACGTAATAATGACGAAATCGTATCACCAAATTTATTTATTAATAAAAAAGTGACGAAGCCGAATTTATCAAATTTTTATTTATAAAAAAAAAAAAAAAAAAAAAAAGTATATATAATGAAACATCGCACCACCGCAAAAAATTCCCAACAAAAAGAACAGCGCAATTACAACGAAACGTCAACAGCATGACAACTCCACAATGATGTCACACCAAAATGGCGACTCTAATAACTCCAGTAACGACGGCTCCAACGGTGAAATCAAACCCGAACAAAGAGAAGCAGTAGTAAATATTATAAGAAAAAAAAAAACAACACCAAGACGAAAAACTTACCTGAAACCTCCAGTAATGACAGCTTCAATGACGAAATCACACCCGGAAAAAAAAGAAACAGCAGTAAATATATAAAAAAAAAACCACCACCTACATAACGAAGAAAACGGCAACTCCAATAAACGGTTCCAACGGCGAAATCAGACCTGGAAGAAAGAGAAGCAGTAGTAAATATAGAAAAAAAAAAACGACAAAACGAAAAACTTATCCAAAACCTCCAGTAGCAACAGCTTCAACGGCGAATTCAACCTGAAAGAAAAAAAAACAGTAATAAATATATACCTAAGAAAAAAAAAAAATTAACACCAAAATGAAAAACTTATCCAAAACCTAGTAACGACAGCTCCAACAGTGAAATCACACCCAGAAGAAAGAAAATATATAAGAAAAAAAAAATAACACCAAAATGAAAAACTTACCTGAAACCTGCGAAATCACACCCAAAAGAAGAGAAGCAAATATATAACTGCCCCCAAGACGAAGAAAACAGCAACTCCAATAAATGGCTCCAACAGTGAAATCAAACTCAGAAGAAAGACAAGCAGTAGTAAATATATAAGAAAAAAAATGACACTAAAATGAAAAACTTATCTGAAACCTCTAGTAATGACAGCTCTAATGGTGAAATCACACCTGGAAGAAAGAAAAACTGTAATAAATATATAAGAAAAAAAAAACAACAACAAAACAAAAAACTTATCTGAAATCTGCGAAATCACACTCAAAGAAGAAAAGCAAATATATAACCGCCCCCAAGACAAAGAAAATGGTGACTCCAATAAACGGCTCCAACAGCGAAATCAAACCCAAAAGAAAAAGAAGCAGTAGTAAATATATAAGAATAAAAAAAAAATGATGCCAAAACGAAAAACTTACCTAAAATTTCCAGTAATGATGGCTCCAATGGCAAAATCACACCCGAAAGAAAGAAAAACAGAAATAAATATATAAAAAAAAAAAAATGTTACCAAAATGAAAAACTTACCTGAAACCTGCGAAATCACACCTGAAAGAAGAGAAACAAATATATAACCACCCTCAAGATAAAGAAAATGGCGACTCTAATAAACAGCTCCAACGATGAAATCAAACCTGAAAGAAAGAGAAGCAGTAGTAAATATTTAAGGAAAAAAAAAATGACACCAAAATAAAAAACCTACTCTAAACCTTCAGTAATGACGGCTCCAATGTTGAAATCACATCCAGAAAAAAGAGAAGCAGCATTAAAGATGAAGAAAAAAAAAAGCAGATCTAATCTAAAAAAAAAATTATAATAAAAACTTATCTGCTGATCTGTTTGATCTGTGTAATAGAAAAGTGCCAATGTGTCACGTGACCCTAACCTAGTCTAGATCTTCCCCAGTATCGCCATAAAAATTTTGCAGTCACGTGTGGCACAAACAATTTTGATTGGCTATACTATATGAAGATCGTTTTTAAATTTTAATTTTTTAAGCTTCTAGCGATTGTTTCTCAACAAATACTAGGTCAAAATCAAGAATTTTTTTTTATTTTAATTCTGTAAACATGTACAGTAGCCCCAAAAGTAACGCCTGATCTGCACATCAAATCATGTAAACAAATAAAGGGGCTGTGCTTACCCCTTTCTGAGGATTTTCCTGAAGCAAATTCTTTTTTTATCTTTTCTTTACTTTTAAATAAACAACAGGATAAAAAAAAAAAATTTCGCTTCCCACTACAAGATGTCGCATATCTAATAGCAATAAAAATGAGGATTTTACTTTCATTTATATCAAGATATGACCGTTTAGTAAGTTGCATGAGAAATTGGTTATAGCTTTATAACAAGTTAATAGCTTTTTAACCAGTGTAAAAGAACTAAAAAAAATAAATATTTTATTAC